CGGTGGATCGCCCAAACACGCTCAGCTTGCTGCGTGACGCCGCCGCAACCGGAGACGAGACAATAACGGCAAACTGGCGAACTCGTCACTGGAGGACACGTCACGATTACAGCCTTATTCATCGGCGTAATTAGCGAGAGAAAGAGATGCGGGACAAGTGGCTAGCAGCACTGATGAAAGCTCATCAGCAGCCTCCCTGTAGAGCTATGGCCACTGATTGGTGCTGGGCCCTTACTGCCGAGAAACTATTTCAAGATCCGGGCTCTTCGCTCGGCTGAACGACAGTAAAATGACCCTAATTGGCTGCAGAGGTAGCTCAGCACCGGATCGTCTCTGCTTGTGCTCTCATTGGCCATTTTTGAGTGTGTGACAACACAAATAAATATATTCTGCACCTTTCCCTCTTCCTGCGTCGCTCTTACTTCTGTTCATAGTTGACACGACCACTCAGGGGACTCTGGGATATCGTCGGAGCTCTCTTCATGATGAGACGTCAGCGATATAGAAATAAAAGATTTAATTTCTTCTGCTCCTTCTACAGATGTGTTTCACATGTTCAGGATGAGAGAAGGTTATTTACTTCTCTACATCCTCAGATTTCATTTAAAACCAGTACTCTGCCCCTTAATCAGTTAATTTGTCGTCCACTCAGCTTGTTTGTTTTGTTTTATTTGTGTCCTACAAAATAACAGCGGGTAAATCATCAGGTTGACTCTGCGTGGAGTTATTCTACAATATAAAGGTACAAGATTGGAGTCACGCAGCCGTGACAAACAGTTAAACAGTTTGATATCAAACACACAGCCTGGTTCCTTCGTGGTAATCAGCAGAGAGGGAAACAGTGAGATGGGACACGAATGGTGGCTGATTGGATGTGATTCGAATTTTTTTGTTTTTTATTTTTATGCAGGTGACTAATATTCTGAATATTGTTTTCATCGGTGTATAAATACCTGATACAACAGTTGTGTTTTTGTTACTTCAGAACGAAGCTTGATCCAGCAGCTGTTGCATCACTCCGTCTGCCATGTCTCCTCTTCCTATCACGATCACGTGCCGGTCATGGAGGAGCATTTCTCTTCCATCGCCTTTGAGCAGCCACGTCGTGGATCGACAATCTGCACAGAGCGAGCTGACGTTGCTCGGACTAACGACAACATTTCTACTCTTTGAGTTGGGAAAAGTTGGAAGCTTCGCTCAGCAGGATTTCTTTTGTTAATTTTAGTTTCTATTATTGAGTAATTTTCACATTTTAAGGAGAAAGGCAGTAAAACATCTTTGTTAAATAAATCCATTAAGTCGATCAGATTGTCAGATTCTATCCATCTTCTCCCGACTAACTCATCCTCCGCTGCACAGTTCCACTTTAAATCTAATCTCTGATTCAACAAGACATTTCAACTTTCCTTTCCCTCCGTCACTGTGGGACTCTTTGTTTAACCGCCAGGAGAGATGTAAGCAGAGCTCCGCACCAGAAGCGGCTTTGAACAAACATGACCTGAGCATATGGCAGCCGAGCCCCGGCCCCCCCCCCCCCCGCAGGAAATAAAACGGCATCGCTGGGAAGCGCGTCACCCGACGAGCTGCCCGGCTGAACTCGCGGCTTTGGTGGAACGCGGACGATCAGATGGAAGGACGAGAGTTTCCTATTGTGTGTTTTTTAAAAGCGGCAAAGTTCATCAAAGCAGAGTTTTTCAGTGGACGGTGCAGAGCTGCATGATAGCATCAGTGAGAGCTTCGCAGTCCTCCGACATTACTTTTCTCTTTGGATGAGCAGAATTCAATTAAAATGAAAATGTTTCTATTATGGAAATGTAGAATCACGTAAAGAAACTCAGGACGTTATCTTTAATATATTTAATATCTTCAACCAGCTGCTTCCTAAAGAAACAACACCTCGCTGCTGCAGGTTGAACTGTCGGGTTTGGTGCTGTACTTGTGACCAGCACTGAAATACCCTGTTAGCATCGTAGAGTGATTTAAAACCAGGATGTGACTCAGTAGATCTCAAACTTTCCGCCACCAGTCGCTTGAATCCTGCATCAAATCCGTCATGTTCAGTCGGATATAGATTTAAAAACAAAAAAAACATGTCAGGTGTTGATTTTCCTCTGATTCCACATGATCTCAGCTCTTATTTCAGCCATGATTGTTTCAAAGCTTAAACACACTTGTCCAGTTTAAAATAAAACCATTCACATGATCACGAGCCTTCGATTTCCCTCGTGTCCGCGTGACCTCTGAGGTGATTACGACCCGTCGGTGACAGCATCAGTTACAGCAGGTGAATTTACAGCACCGCAGGAAACAATGCAACATGTGCACGGAGGTCAATTTTGCTCAGATCAATGTTGTTTGGGACGATGGGTAATTCTCTGGCTTTGTTATTGTGGGGGGTCGTGTCCTCTTTCGGAAGTTCACAGAAATAAGAAAACACATTCTTCTTGCTCGACTAAGACTTTGATAATCTTGTTGGTGTGTATAAAAAAGTTTTTGAATCATTGCGTTGAGTAACAGACTCAGTTCTGTTGTGTTGGGCTTTAACCGCCTCTTTCTCTCCGTCCTGTTGTTCCCTCTCTTTAACGTCCTCTTTTCTTCCGATGCAGGACAATAGCTTTTACGGCCGCCTCGTGAATCAAAGAGTGCAGAGGTTGAGGGGGAATCGCTGGTGGTGGTGGTGGTGGGGGGGTTGCAGGGGTGGTCGGCTGTATATCTCCCGACCTGATGGAAAGATCGAAGCTTTGGGAGGGCGGGGGGGGGGGTGGTGATACTCGAGAAGAGCGGGGACGAGGGCTGGGCGGTGTTAATGAATGACCACCTGATACAGGCCTGTCATCCCGCTGGAAGAGTTAGTGCACTCGGCTGGATGAACAGCAGAGGTGGCAGCTTGTGCGGCGGCGAGGGAACAGGGCGGGCGGATCGCGACACTTAAAAGAGCGTTTGGAACAGAGTTGGGCGGGTTCAACCGACGACGGAGGACGACGTGTGTCCACTTCCTCCCACTGCACAAAAACTAGGCTAGAACGATGCTGATGGCAGCGAGGAGCCGTGGTATCGAGGTCCTGCTGTTACAAACATTTATTTTTTCTCAAACCGTCTTTTTCGACGTTGCCCTTGCAAAACCAAGCAACCGAGCGATCGTACATCCCCGATCTCTGCTACAAAACACAGGGGCCGCTTCTGCTGAGTCTGTATTTAAAGCTGAAATAAAACATCTCTCCGAAGCTTCAAGGTTTCGCAGAGTTTTCATTTCTTCAATTCAAAAGTTACAGCTGAAGACCTGAGACGCAGACTGTGACGTAGTGTTCTCTATCATGTGAATTCAGTCTGGCGAACTGTGTTTGAATAAAGCTACATCATGTCAACCCATGTGCTGCTCGGAAACCTTTATTTCTCAGCAGAAGGAAACATGAAACAAAAACCATCTGAAAGCTCAAACCTTTGGCTTTTATTATAAATCATTGCGTTTGCCTCGGAAAGTGGATTTGACTGGAAATAAGATCATGTCAAAACTTCAGTGGGCGTACATCAAACCCCGCTCTGAGGAAATGTGTGCAGACGTTCACCTCTTCTGAAATGGTGAGACATGCACACGTTGCACAGGCGGTTAAAAATGATTTTAAAAGAAGCCAGATTAAAATTTAAAGATGCTTTTAAGATATTACAGATATATATATATATATATTGCAGATAGTGAAACGTGTCCTCAGTATACTTTCATATATAAAGTCAGGGCTCAGTCACATCTGCGATGTCAGATCATGCTGACACTGCACTCCACATGCTATTTAAATAAAGCACCGCCTGTCCATTTTTTTTCATCCACTATCCATGAATGTAAAACACCCCCTGATAAATCGTCCATTGTGACGGGAACATGATTACATGAAGCCGCGGCTGTAGGCCATTCAGCGGGCAGACGTGGCACCGTGTCACCTCTAAGAGGGCTTTGAATAAATGTCCCCGTCTCCACCAAGGCCCACTTCCTTAATCAGGGTGTCGGATGGTAATGATTAGCTTCCTGCTCGCACGTTCGCTTCCCGGTCGCTGAATCGTCCACGCGACTCAATCACTGTTAATAATCTGCCCGGGAAGATAATACCCTTCTTTACCTTCACATAATCCAGCTCTAATCTCAACCACATTGTCACTTTTTCCTTTTTAATATCAAATTTCATTTATTCTGACAAGTGCTTTCACGGAATCGGGCGGCACTTCATATTGAAGGGGAAGGGAATCATATCTAAATCCCTGAATGAGGTTAAACAATACACTGGAGGAAGAGACACAGACGAGGGGGGATTACTGCAGCATCATTTCATTCAGTGTCCGTTTCCAAAACCTGGATTAGCAGCAGGGAGAGAGATTAGTGTTTGTTATCGTGCTTCATGTGCAGGCATCTGTTAAAGCCACTCCTCCATATTTGTGCTATTAAGCAAATATCGGCGGCTCCCGCTCACACGGAGGTGCGAGGAGCAGGTCGGGGGAGAGCGGCGGGTCCTTGTATTTCACTCCTAACAACCAGAAACCAATGAAACGCAGCGTTTAAACTGCAGGAGTCACACCAGTCCTCATTTACTAAACACTTCCCGTATCTGCACCCGTTCACTTTTCCAGTTTTTAATTAACTCAACGAATATCGGATGTCTGGCAGTGGCATTCAAACCCATTAACTCTAATTCTCCAGCTGAATTAAATAATTTCATTCTGAATGCGTGATGGGGAAATGGAAAAAAAAAAAAAAAAGGCTGTTTGTGAAATGGATGTGCTGTTTTTGTGAAGTACCTGTGTACGGAACATGTTGTTGAGTTAGCGCGCGTGTCTCTCAGTAGCATTCATCTTCATGCTCAGATGCACTTGAAGGAACACGGTATGCATCATGCTACTTTGAGACACAGGAACGATGGGAGTTAACCTTGAGGTATTGATTTCCTGCCACCGTGTACATGTACTTTATATCCACGCCTGTGTGCTCATTTCTCCTCTCTCTTTCTGTGCAGAGATACTCAACGGGGGTGTTTATGTTGACCAGAACAAATTCCTGTGCCACGCCGACACCATCCATTGGCGTGACATTATCAAGAACCCCGAGGCCGAGCTGCTGGTGGTTCCGTCCAACAACAGCAACCTGGGATGTGAGTAAAAAAAAAAAAACTCTGGACGAAAATCAAATAACGCCGGTCTGTGAAATGTGATGGCGAACGCTCACATACCAGCAGCAGCAGCAGCAGCAGCAGCGGTGCCCTCTCCCTCTTTATTCATTCTGTTTGCCTGCTGGTCATTTGGAAGCGAAATCACATAGTGTTAGATCAACGTGTGAACCGCTCCATTGTGGTGGCTCTGCAGCGAGGCCCATGGAGCTGCTGTCTGCAGCGCTCGCCTTAAATCTCAGTGAATCTGACAGCTGGTTTGAAGCTGCCCCCCCCCCCCTCCCCCTCTCCCCTCTCTCGTGGTCCCTGCAGTCCCTCAGCTCCCTCCGGTCTGGACATTACAGCCATCGCTATGTGGCGGCAGACGCTCCACTCAGGGGAAGACGGACTCTCTCCAACTTTTCTGCACGTTTTCTTTAGGCCAGCTCCGTGCTCATTTTAAGGGAGCGGCGAGGAAAGATAAATATACTATTCCTACAGTGTTGCCCCCCCTGCACTCGACGACCTGTCTTTGTTTTGCAATCTGGTTACTCTAAAAATAAGACTTTCTAAAGTACACATGTGGAAAGATTGCCATTGTGTTGATGAGATGGCGGCGTTCGAGGAGGAGGGCGAGGAAAAAGCAACAAAGAACGGAGGAGGTGGGCCAAAAAATGACAAGAGAGCGTGTGGGAGTTGAGGTTGCCAAATGGCGGCCCTTTGCCAAGCTGTAGTTAGTATTTAACATTAACAGCCCCACTGTGGGAGTGGTTGAAGGGGCAGGGTGACAATCTGCTGCTGTGTTCCACTTACTGTGTAATTAACCCGTAGTCAATTAAGCCTGGTTGACGGCAGACTGGCACATGAAGGCTGCGAGCGCTCCGTCAGCTCCGACTTTGTCTGTGCGAGCGCTTTGACGGAGGGGAGTCGAGGCCTGTCTTTCATTTTTACAAGTCGCCACAGTAACTGGGTCGACTGTCGGACGAGCGAAGGAGAGTCAACAGATCTGTCACTGTCGGCGGGCGGGGAAGTTTTAAGGGCGTGTGTGTGTGTGTGTGTGTGTGTGTCAAAACTAAATCTGAAGTTTGCTGAGGAGTTGCCTGATGTACTTTGCCTCTGTGCGTGTGTGTGCTCTGCAGGCAGACGCTGTCATCGCTCGTGTAATGGACGCTGTTGGGGGCATCAAGAAGACCAATGTCAGACCCGTGAGTCCGCACACACACACACACACATGCACACTAAGTCACTTGAAGGAAAAGTTTAACCAGATTTGTAAGTAAAGTTTATTTAATTCAATTTTCTGCACATAAATGAAATAACACCATAAATAAAATAGAAATAAACGATAAATAAATGCAACAGAAAACACAATAATTCAACAGGGGGGGGGTAGACGTCCCTCTGACACAGGATTGTGATTATACTTTAAATCCAGGCTAATGAAATCCTGTCAGTGACCTCCTGTATTTACTGAATGTGCTGAGAGAAATCGAGCATCCTGCAGCATCTGCTTTTTAAAAGAATCTATAATCTGCTCTAATCTGTTTGGACGTCGTCCTTTTATTATTTTTTTTAAGACTGTGTGAGAACTGTGATTTATTTTTTTTTTTTTACTTTTCATCGTAATGAAATGTAAAAAACCCCAAAATCAAGGCCGAGTGGTTTCTCCAGTGTGATCCGATAAAAACAGAAGCAGAGTTAATATTCGTGTTTCATAAAACAGCAGCGGGACGAGTGCAGCAGGAGAACTGTTAGTCGTGGTTATAATTATAGGATGTTTTAATCTCGTACAGACAGAGAGGCTGTTTTTCCTCACACAGACTCAGAGAGGACGCAGCCTTGTTATTTTCTCCTCTCCTGCATCATTATGTTTCCAGCTCGACAGATAGTGAGCGCAGCAGTTTTTAATGCCTGGGCTCCGAGCTCCTGCTGACTCGCTGGCTGCCGCGTCTCCGACTGTCCCGCTAATGTGAGGGAGGCTGGAGCAACTTTAGGTGCAAGCCAAGTGTTAGCGCTGCGCTAATAATACTGACGGATGCAGTTTCCTTTAAAGAATGAGGAAGACTCTCGGTTTCCGCAGGAGTTGGCACGGCAACAAATGAAGCCGGGATTTCTGGGAATTATGAGCACAGTTGGACAGGGGGGGGGGGGTCTACTTGGCTGAGAGGCAGATTTGGTGAATCAGAGGGGTTCGGTAGATTTCTCCCCAAACTTTATTTGTGTGGGAGAAACTTCCCACTGAGCTGAAGCTGGAACGGTTTGAGCTCAAGAGACTGGTTCAGAGACGTCGTTCAGTCTTGATCTTCAGGCTCCTGACGTGTGTTGTTTGTCCTCTGTGTGTTCAAGAGCCTGGTCTTTCAGTTTGTGTTCAGCACTTATTGATTTCACATTCAGATTTTCTACGTTTTATTTTTTCAAAACCTTGCGCTCTCACTCATACGTGCATGCTTGTGTTTAGATTTCCTGCTGCAGCTCTGCTCCTCGCAAATCTCCTGTTTCTCTGCGCTCTCAGATTTTTCCAGTCTTGATTGAGATGCTTGAATTTGCCGCTCCGTGTCATCGGGCAGATGAAACGATCGGAGAACGTGTCGGCACGTGCAGGAAGTCTGAGAGCAAGCGGGAGCTATTTGAGTGAGAGCTTTACAAAATCTGACGGTGAAATCAAATCAAAGTCCTGCTCTCAAACCGAAAGACCACGTGTCCCGATACGCAAACCCACGACTTTGTTTGTGGCCTGAACTCCACATCGGATGTGAGCGGCCGCAAAGATGGCGGCGGTGTCGTCTCCCTTTATGAGTGTGAATGTGTTAGAACATGTGTGTGTGTGTGTGTGTGTGTGTGTCAGACCTTTAAAATTCAGTCTTCTCACTTCCTGTGCAGTGACAAAGACGGTGTGTGCAGAGCAGTGTGACGGTCGCTGCTTCGGGCCTTACGTCAGTGACTGCTGCCATCGCGAGTGTGCCGGCGGCTGCTCGGGTCCCAAGGACACAGACTGCTTCGTACGTCACACACACACACACACACACACACACACACACTGTCTCTCTTTCCTTCATCTTCTACTTCTTCTCTTCCTCATTCCAACTTTCCACAGACACTTCTCAGCCGCCCCCCCCCACCCCCTGCCCTCCCTCAGCTTCCTCCACTGTGTCTGTCCACGTCTTTCATGCAACATCTGTTTGTCATCCTCGCCGACAGAAAATCATCCGCTTTGTTTACAGCCTGACAAATTGTTTGTCATTACACAGGGCCGTAAAAACCACAGTGGCTCCCTTCAAAGAACAAATTGGTGATTCAGTGTTCCAATTAATATCACCTCAACTTCTTCCTGTTGCACCAACTTGTGGCGAGGATATTGTGGCTGTAATTCACAGAAAGGTTCATCCAATCCAATTACTGTCGCCTCAGCCTGAAGCCACAGACGACGGAAACGCTTAAGGGGATTATGGGAAAACATTTCAGCGTTTACATCATGGCAGTGGATCAGTGGCTCCGATTGTTCTGTAAAAGGAGTCCACGTGTGACGCAAACATGAAATGCGGCTGTAACACTCGGCGCTCGTGTGTTTTGGTTTTTTTTCCGCAGGCTTGCACCAACTTCAACGACAGCGGAGCGTGCGTGACCCAGTGTCCTCAGCCGTTCGTGTACAACCCCACGTCCTTTCAGTTAGAGCACAACCCCAGAGCCAGGTACACGTACGGAGCCTTCTYCGTCAAGAAATGTCCACGTAAGTCTTCTGGTGTAAGAGCAGAAAAACTCTCCACGCAGCAGATACACATACGTTAACACTGCAGCAACAAAGATGCTTATGATGGTTTTCATAATGGAGTTTTATCGTCTGTGCCGCGGCGTCCGCTGCAGAAGAAGCATTTATCCTCTCATCTATCCTGAAATCAAACTCCAGGCGATTGGTTAAAGTCGAGATAAATGACTCAAACATGAATGAATAAATTGTGTCTCACTCAAGTAGTTGCTGCACCGTCTGTTTCAGCTTCTGGCAGCTAGACACAAATCTTGATTCTTTCGGGTGTGGAGTCAGAGTGCAGAGATAGAAGTGAGGCTGCATCAACAGATTGTATGTTCAACTTCCGCTGATCCTCAAATGAGCAAACTCACACAAATACGGTTCATTTACTTTTTCCGAGCAATATACACAATTAGTTTTGATCATTAAACGAATGTGATTAAAAGATGATTCATTTCACAGCTTTGGAGGAAACGCTGTGATTTTAATGGTCTCACATGATGTGAATCTGCAGCTGGAGTCGCTTGTGGTTAAACTGGCCTCTGGGTTTTACAGATAACTTTGTGGTGGACCACAGCTCCTGTGTCAGAGCGTGTCCCAGCAACAAGATGGAGGTGGAGGAGAACCGCATCAAGATGTGCATCCCCTGCACGGACATCTGTCCCAAAGGTAAAACTGTGATTTTAACAGAATCCTGCAGAAAGGCAGCACGGACGGTGCGATGGAATATAACACAGCACGAGATGATGTGATACCAGGGCTGTCGTTTGGAAACGTGAGCAGTGGAGCTCACGGTCCAACAGTTTAATTATGAACCCACATTTAAATTGCACCAAATTCCACACACAAGCTTCGTGCGTTTTTCTCTTGCATTGAATATTCCTTAAGCTCCTTTTCATGTTTGAACCTTTCGATGTGTTTTGATTTTTGTAGACGTCCACATTCATAATCCTGCCTTTTGAATGTTTGTTTGCTAAAAGACACCTTAATGGACATATATGCATCCATCCATCATCTATACCACTTATCCTTTGAGGGGTGTGGGGAGGTGGAGACAATCCCAGTGCAAAGGAGGGACGTGTAAACTTTTCAAACCGTGTCCCWCAGAGTCACTGACAACAGTTTGTGTGTGAGGCCCATTGTTTGGTCTGATGGTTGCAGTATAAGTGTCAGTGTGTCACCTTGAGTGACTTTAACCTTCCATCACCAGCACAGATTTGATGAAAGCAGGAATGATGATGTGTTTTATTGCTTGTTGTCCCAGGGAGAGTCTGCAGATTTGTCTGAGAGAGACGTTCACAGACAACAGATGGAGTTTTATTACATTACATGGAGGAAGGTGCAGTGCAGGACACGCCACGTCCAGCAGACGTTATATTTTTACACTCATTCCCCCGGGTTCCCTCCATTGCACTGCGTTTACTGTATGTACAAGAGCTTACTCAGTTAAACCCTTTTAATCTAATAGCTTTAGGCGAACGGTGATGATACTGGATCAACAGTCGCCCTCAGGAATTACTTCAAAAAGCTTTAAAGGGAAAAGTAATTTATGTTTTAACAGAGGAAGCTTAGCTGTATTTAAATTCTGATAAATACACTTAAGACCGATTTATTGATTTTAATTAATCTATCAGCAGACGTATTTCCACTCTGATGGGATTGTTGCTTCGTCCTCGAGAATGTGGCGAACGCATCACAGACGAAGGTCACGTGTTTGACCCTCACAACAGTGAGCGCGTTCCCGTGATGCGGTCCTCTCCGACCTGCTCCGTGGTCACGACTCCTCCTGCACAGGAGCGTCGGCTAAAAGAATAAAACGTGAAACAGATTCTTCCTGCTGTTCCCACAAAGGCGACTTCCCTTCGGAGGGAAGACAGCGGCGAGGCTACGGCGCCCATTGATTGGCTAATCTCTTGATTACATCGTCACGCAGCGGGGAGGGGTTAATGAGGGATAGCCTGAGGAACTGTGGGAAATGATAACAAATTAACATTTCAGATATGGAATTGGCTGGTATAAATCACTATCAAAAACTGGTTACACCACTTAATGCAAACCTTATTCATCATCGCTCCTCCTCCTCCCCCCCCCCGTCTCTGTCAGAAATACTTGGCTCACACTAGACCGCAAGTGTAATTAATGCAGATGTAATGAATTCATTACAGCGAGGAATTGGCTGCGGATTGGTCCGTGCTTTCACAGCGAGGGGCCACGGCCTCGTCCATGCACCAAAAGCACGGCTGTATTTTCCTAAGAGAGTGAAGAATTAAAAGCTAATAGCGGTTTCATGAGACAAGGTCAGAGCTGCACGAGGACGCTTTGAAAATAAATCTTAAATGATTTGTTCACAGCCAAAGCAGCAAAACTGTTAATTACATGAGGTAATGTGTGAGCGTGTTGTTTGTCAGTGTGTGACGGCATCGGGACGGGCAGCCTGCAGACGGCTCAAACCGTGGACGCCAGCAACATCGATAAGTTCGTCAACTGCACCAAGATCAACGGCAACCTCATCTTCCTCATTACTGGCATTAAAGGGTGAGTGACACACATCCAGATGAAATGTTGAAAACACACTAGGATCTGTGCATGCAGCGAATCCACAGGAATCGTAACAGCAACACGAAACTAAGTGAGTCGGACGTGGAAACAAACAGTCCTTCGTTACCCTCGCGCTCTGTGTGACGGCAGATGTGACTTGGGAAAGTCAGCGAGCTGGTTTCAGTCACAAACCTCTGTCAAAGTGCCAGAAGCTCTGAGATCACGATGAAACTACGAATGTCACAGAGGAGAAAAAAAGAAAGACACAAACACTTCCTCTTAGTTTGAAGATTAAAATAATGTTTTCGATGACACACAAACTCATGACATGGAGAACGGAAAGCTTCGCATTTAACAGGAGCGTCGGGAACACTTGTTAACACGTGTTACGGCAAACGTCACTCACCCAAAAACTCCTGTGACGTGACTCCACCTTGTCAGTCGACGTGGTTCTTTGGCGTCTGAGGTCGTCAGTTCCTTTTCCGTCAGCTTGTCAACAAATGTTTGTGTACCTCTGTGCAATCAGAGGCTCAGATCAGATTGAAGTAGGCCTCCCACCTGCAGGGGGAGCTCAAGCGGTTCTCACATTGAGTTGCTGTAGTGATACCATCAGGCGCACGCTCATGATGCCACAGGAACACAGCAGCGTTTTAGTGTTTGTACTTTTATTGAGAAAGTTTTAACTGTGTGTGTGTGTGTGT